CGTACCCAAGGACCAGGTGGCCGCCCGCCGCCCATCAAACTCACTGCTCGCCTCAGCAAATGAATCGTTCCAAGAGAGTGGATAGGCGCAATAATTCCACGTTAGCTCGTCCGGGACTTTTCGTGCTTCCGCGAGCACCCCCAACCTACGACGTGAGTCCTCGCCAACCATGCCAGTAGCCTGCCAGGCCCCCTTGAGTCTGTCCTGGAGCTGGAGCTGGAGCTGGAGGCTGGAGGCTGGCCAGAGTCTGGCACGCACCGCCTCGCAACCGGTCGCAACTGGCTGGCAAAGTATCCGGACAGACAGAGAGACGGAGAAGCACACTGACTGGTTTGCGTCGCCAGACAGAAACTCTATCCGTCAGGTACCATGCCTTATTACGTCTTGAGGAGCTTGGGGTGATTCACGGGTTGCGTGCGCATTTGATGGGCGGGGGGCTGAAGCGACGGCTGCACAGTCCTCACGGTCTTACCGCCATCTACACGCGCTCGTCTCTGCCGCGAAGCTCCCCGAACAACCCCAACACCCCCCGTCCGTCTGCTCCGTTTCCAAACGTGTGAAAACGTGCCAGGGCCACCATGGATCCGACATGCGTCACGCCTGAGTTGGCGAACTAGTGGCATATGCTGCCAAAGGTGACGACGGGAAGGCGGTGCAGACAGACAGAGACGACCCCAAACCAGACAGAGAACAACGTCCCAAACACCACACGCACGTTGGACGGACAGCAGAGCACCCTGCCTGGTACCAGGCCGCAAGACAAGATTACCTTCACACCCATCACGAGGCTCAATTTTGATCAACTTCCGAAGTGTTACATTTTGATGCCACGGCGCGCGACATGGATGCTACTGAATAAGAACAAAACCCCAGGGCCTGCCGCCTCTCAATTCAAACGAGGTGGCCGACTCCTGGATTTTCAAGATGAACGGGCGCCCTCATCTTATCAGACCTTGTCGCAGTGTGCTCACAGGGACCAGAGTGCCAGGACGAATGTAACATCGGTTCACGTTGGGACCAGCAAGGCACAAGGACATGCCATCGCCGCTGGGAGGGAAATCCGTGGATCAAGCTTTCATTTGCGCTCGTCGCAGCCGAAGCCGACGCAACCTAATAATTAGAGGCTCGCCGCCAGGCGGACAGGAGCAGCGAGCCAAGCCAGACTGCCTAGATCCATGGAGGGGGAAGAGCAAGATGAGGGGGGAAGCCTACTGCTATGCCACCCATCCCCCAGTTATGATGATGCATCTCTAGCATGCCGTGATTGTCACGGGGAGTTTAACTTTGTGATTCGGAAGCCACGGTGCGGGAGGGTGGGAGGCAGCTTCTACAGATGCCAAACCGGCGCCGACTCGCAGCCGCAGATGCTTTGCCGTCGGCCGTTCAAGACTGCAAGAGAGACGGTTTCCGTGAAGTCTAACAGGACGTTATTGAGCCGCTGCATCTGGCCCGGTTGCATGCCAGACGATAGAGTTGGTCCCCTCCCCGGTGTGGGCTGCAGAAACAAGAGGAGTAAACCCCGATGCGGCGATAGCGATTGCGCGCGCGCTGGTCCCCTCAAATGACATTCCATGTTCCATGGATGGCACTATGAAGCGCGCGAGATGAACCCCACCGAGGGGCCGAGTCCTCGATTGTTTTTGATGAGACAACTGAGACATCTGCAACGATAAAATGAGCGCCGATATAACGATCAACTGCAACAGCGGCGAGCGCAACCATCGTGGAGCCAGCCGCCCTGATGAAGTCCCGTCGCGTCGGCCAGAGCGTTGCGTTGCGTTCGGGGCGAGGGGGAAACAGCAACACACACTGGGCAGACAGAACATGTTTGCTGCATCTCTCGGCAGTCGTCCGCAGAAGCAAGGACAAGCAGGGAGAGTTTCTGGCACATATCGATACTTCGTGGTGACTTTGTTGTCCGCAGTTGTGCTGGTAGTCTTGGATATTGCTGTTCCGCGAGCCGAACTCTTTTTTTTTCTCCTGTGAAAGTAGTCCTAACCACACCTCCGGATTCGGATTTGCGATAGGAAAAAGGCCACTTTGGCTTGCGGCCATTTCCCACCATTGCCCAATTTCTTTTGCGCGCGCTCGTCCGCTCGTCCAAGCGCAGGAACTGTGTCGACATCGACAGGTCACATCAGCCCAAGGCAGTGTGAGTGCAGTGAGAGAGCAGCAGCACTTCAAAGCCTGTTCCCTGCCCGTGTTCGCTGTCCGGCCCGTCCCTAGCAATTTGGTTCGCCAGCTAGTCATACGCAGTACCATACATACATCGCACCAGTCAGCCGTACATACCGTACCGGACATGGCTGGCGGTACATTTCCGTTCACGATTTGTCGCTAGTGTGATTCGGCAGAGCGAGCGAGCGCGCTGACCATTGCAAGCTGAGGGATGGTTCACGAGAGGGGGAAAAAAGGAAAATAAAATGGAGAGCAAAGCAACATGCGCCGACGATCACTGCAACTCGGAGAGCCAGCCAGATGGGGTGGGCGCTCAGAGGTTGCGCCAATTTCGCAAAACTGTTAAATGAGGCCTTGCTAGGCTGCACTTGGGTTAAACTGCCCAAGCAGTTGAATGACAAGCAATCCCAATACTCGAGGCCAATGCTACGTTGACGGGAGTGCTGACTGAATGAGCGACACCGAGAACTGCCCAAACGAGGCGAGACGGCGGGAAGGGAGGAGGGAGAGACCATGGACCGCCCAGAAGAGGATGTGACGTGAGAATGGCATGCATTTGCAGCTGCAACTAACACAACGGTGCTCACACGGGCCGCGGTTCATGCGCCCGGCACCACCCCTGGACGAGAGCAGCAGCAGCAGCGCCTCGGAAACGGGAGTCCTTGATAGGAACGGTATTGCTACAGCACAAAGAAGAGACAGGCAGACAGAGAATGTGATCAACGGGTTGCCAGCGGGTGACCCGTGCAGCTGCCATGCAGCTCGCCATTTGGAGCGAGGAAAGAGACGCTTGAACTGCTGCTGCTGCTGCAGTTCCATGGCCGGCGGCAGCATCAGCAGCAGCATACGCGCCCAACCGCTGACTGCTTGCCTGCTTCATGAGTGAGCTCTCTCTCTCCAACGTCACTTGTCATTGTCAACCAGTGAGGCTTACAATACGAGAGAGGATAGCGCCAACGGCCGATACGACGTGCCGGAAGGCTGTTTGAAGCACGTTGGAGCCCCCTTTCGTTGGTTCCTGTTCATCCATCAGTTCACTGCTACATGCTAACCCGTCTGCACTTACAGTACTGCAAAAGTGACAAGAAGACAGCCCAGCCAGCCCGCTTGACCCGCATCGGCACCTGAGCTACACTACACGATTCATGGGCAAGCTTCGGACGAGCCTCGCTGCAACCCCTCCTCGATCGGGAAATTTGCAGACCTTCCCTCCACGGCTTGTGGGCGATCATGTGTCTGATCCCCCTCCCCCCTTGGTGATGGAACAGTTCGATCGGGGTTGCATAGCCTGCCTGGACTGGACTGGGCCATTAGCCTGAGAAGCCCTGTATTGCAACACAAACCTGGAGATATCCACCCCGTTTTGGGGGCCTTGATCGGTTCGTCTGTATCAAGGGAGCAGCAAACAATGTTTGATTCAATATTACATTGTTGCTGCTGTGGTTGTTTTTGCTTTGACCCTGTTCAATCTCGCAACAGAAGCTCTTCGGGGTGTTGGACAGATCAAAGACAGTCGACCATCACCCGCAGCGACGGTTCGGCACGTGAAACGGAGGGTTCGCAGGATGGAACCGTTAAGATTGGGAATCTGGTGAGCCAGTCGGAACCGGGGGTTGACTTCGACATCGCCCCCAAATGTCCACCAGACTTTTTACACTGCGTAACTCTTAAGGCGGTGCGCCGTCCTGAGTCGAGTCGCTGAGTACTGACCATCGTTCGTGTCGCAACCCGGACGGGAGAGGCGTGCTGGCATCCCCTCCTACCCCCCGGACACACGCAAGTTCGCGGGCGATCTGAACATTGTTTCCCTTCGGTCCACACCGCCGTCCCGGAACACGCGCCCAACGTTCCCCGGGTTCCGGACTTGCTCCCAACCCCCCGGAAGCAGCTCCTGTCGGGCATGTTCTCGTCACAAGACCACACATGCACTTTGCTCTGAATAGTCACCAGCATCGATAGGCGAGCTAGCCTTTCTCAGGGAGCGGCTGCGCTTTTCCTAGCCGCCGAGCGCATTCAGACAGCCGTTTGCTCGGACGCTTGGCGGACGCCCATCAGGAGATTTTGAGGCGGGATCTGCTGGTGTTTATTTCACTCTACTGGTTTTCTCATTGCTTTTTCCCTCGCTCTCGATTTCTATCACCCCCCAAATGCCGGGCTGATTGTGAATCAGTGCGATTCATTCTCTTACATGGAGTCGCATATCGCAACCGCAGTCGACGACGATGGAGGAAGCCTTCCACGTCGTTGACCTTGTGTCCTGTTGGACCGCTGAAGCCGGCGGCATTTGAGGCTAAGCGGCCCGCCTTCCGTCGGCTTCACGCAACGAGTTGGGTTGCACGCGCGATACCTCCGTGTCTTCGGAACGAGATGCTTCGTCGCAAAAGGGCCAGATTGCAAGGTGGATAAGGGCTTCGGTTCGGTTCGGGGAGGAGAGACTCAGAAAAAAAGCCAACAGTATATCCTGTCCTCATTCCGGATTTTGTATCATTATCTCTTTTAATGACAACTTTCTGACGTCCGTCACCAGAAAACTACAACTCCCGCTTCCAAGTGCAACTAAAGAAAGCGGAACCACTCGTTGTCGGGTTTCCTTCGGATAATTCTGGGGGCGACAACACAGTGGCAGCAAGCAAGGCGCCGCATGCAGAGGACATCCCGGGTCAATTCTGCAAGGAATAACCAACGTCTCTCCTCATCGCGAAATCCCTCATCAACCTTTGGGTCGACAGGAAACTCTGCGATTCTTCTCCGTCACGTCAAAAACGTAATCGGACGGAAAGGGCCGCGCAATCAATTCACACCTCCCGCAGCACGTAGCAGTCATGGCATCATCCCTTCAACAGTGGAAGGCCGACAAGCCTTACCTCAACATCCACTGCGCGCTGGGTGAGGGGCCGTACCACGACAAGAAGAACAACCTCCTGCGCTTCGTCGACATCAAGAAGAAGCAGGTCCACATCGTCGACCTCGCCCGGGGCCCCGCGTCCCTGCGCACGCTGCAGCTCGACGTCCCCGTCGGCGTCACGACCGACATCGAGGGCGTCGACCCCAAGGACCGCATCCTGGTCGGCCTCAAGTATGGCATCGCCGTCCTCGACCTGCAGACGGGCAAGTACGAGTACGTCGGCAAGCCGCTCAACGAGCAGCGCAACGAGCGGCTGAGGGCCAACGACGGCGCCGTCGATCCTCACGGCCGCTTCTGGCTCGGTACCATGACGGATTTTGGGTTGGGCGATTTTCAGATTGAAGGTATGTCGCAGTAGCCAGCCAGCAGCGAGGGGAGAAGAGGTTGAAGCGGTCTGACGGACGTCACGACCCATGTTCAGGCGTGCCGCCCGTTGTCGTGACAACACACTTCTTCACCGCATATACTCCTCTAGCCCCCCCAAAGGCAAACACACAGCAGCTCTGAAGCCACCTCACGATACTAACTGCACCCAAAAGGCGCCCTGCACCGCTTCGACGGCACGTCGGGCAAGGAGGACGTCGTCAAGGGCCTCATGATCCCCAACTCCGTGGGCTGGTCCCCGGGCAACACGACCATGTACTTCACGCACTCCACCGAGCGCAAGGTGTACGCGTGGGACTACGCCCCCGCGGACGGCGCGCTCTCGCGCAAGCGCGTCTTCTACACGCACGACGGCCCCGGCGAGCCCGACGGCTTCCGCGTCGACGAGGCCGGCAACCTCTGGCACGCCGTCTACGGCGAGGGCCGCGTGCTCAAGATCTCCCCCGAGGGCGCGCTCGTCGGCGAGATCCTGCTGCCCACCAAGGCCATCACCTGCGTGCAGTTCGTCGGCACCGAGCTCTTCATCACGACGGCCTCGCTGGGCGAGGAGGAGGAGGCCACGCAGGAGCAGCGCGAGAACGGGGGCGCGCTGTTCCGCGTCGACGTCGGGGTCAAGGGGCTCGATTTCTTTGAGTTTAAGCTCTGAGCTGGCAGCATGTCCGCATGACGGGCCTCTTTTTCCAGGGTCGCTACGGAGCACTACGAGGGGAGGAGGGGGTGGAAAGTTCACGATGGAGTCAAGTGTCTCAGAAACTCCGGAGAGAAAGAAAGTTTTGATGGATTCGACGAGGGATGAGGTGACCCGGCGGGTTGTCAGGGTCCTTGACTGGTCACGATAGTAGAAACGTGGTTGGTGATGAATGACGAGAATGAAGCATACGACACCGCTCTTTGGGCTTTTCCTCCCCATCCCCTTCCCCCCTTTTGCCTCCTCCTCCGTCCTTGCCGCGCTTCGCAGTGCGGCGGCTTCCCATTTTTTCGCCGCTGCTAAAGAAAAAACTGTGTGTCGAGTCGTGTCGTGGTCTCTGAGTGGCTCCCCCCCTTCTGTTCCAGTCCCGGTCCAGACAAAGATCGTCAACACGACGCTGCGACGACACCTTCCGCAGAGCACACTCACATGAACCAATCCGTGGTGCAGCCAGCAGCATACTCAACAAAACCTCCTGCGCTTCCTGCGGCTTCACGATAATTTTTTTCGGGTTCGAAAAGCTGCTTCGTGTCTTTGCGTGTGTTTTATTGACTCGTGGCCATGTAAGTCGAGGGTTTGCTGGCCGGCTTCCTCTGCCATGCTGCATGTTGGCCCCCAACAAACCCCGTATAATTACACTAAAAAAGGACTGCAAGCAGCATGCAGGAGGCTCGCCTCACTTTCACACCGTCCAGGTGGAATTGCAGTTTGGGCACCAATGCCTAATGCCTCCGAGAGAATACATGTACACGTTTTTTCTGTCAGATTTACTGCACATTGTCACAGCTTCGTGCATACCCTTTCCCATCGCCGGGAACGTATGACAGCCAGCGAAAACGACGTGGGAACGACGCAGCTAGTGACGTCCGACATCGCTAGATGGGGCAAGCAAGGTAGAGAGGTAGGGTCGAGTAAAACCCAACCACACGCTGCACACGCCCACGCAATACAGACCACACGCCCGTCCGTCGCGTATCTGCATCTGCAGTCGACGTGGCAGGCCTCTCTCGTCCACGGCAGATTGTATCTGTACATGACACGCGCTCACGACCCTGTACCTCATACTTTTGTGCTCTTTTTTCACCTCTCGTCTGCTGTTCACAAGAGTCCACCCCGGTTTTTCCAGATCGGAGAATTAAAGTGGTTCCCACGAACGAACGACCGGGGGCCTGCCGCATCGTGCAGTTAGATCGGAGCCCGAGCCGCCATGTCATCCCATCCCATGCTGGCTTCGCCTGGGCCTGAAGAGGCCGGGACGCACGCGGGATGACCTAGCCCTAGGGGGGGTTCTGCACCTGGGGGGCAGTCTAGCCCGTACCATTCCTCCATCGTCGTCCATCCGGCCGGCCCCCCAATCCCCTGGTCTCCCGGGCATCAGCCCCGGATCCATGGTTGGCTTGCCGCTTACCGCCGCCGCCGCCGACGTTCGCCGCCACGGGTGTCGTGTCTGGCCCCCGCCTGTTCTGTCCGCCACCGCTGGTTTCTGCCCCGTCGTCTGCACTACTTCAGTGCGTACATGCGTACCGGGAACAGTTCCTTGGGAAAGCCACGCTGCAGCTCCGTCCTGATTAGGCGGAGACCCGCTTCCTCGAAGAGGCTGCGGAACTTCTCATCCACTCTGTGTGTTTGTTGCACTTGCGTCAGTCTATGCAGGTGTCTTGCATGCATCCGTATACACGGGCCATTGGGGGCAAGGAACAAGGAAAGAGGACGAGGAAACAGGGCCTGGCCGGCGTTTGATTCCGGCAGAAATTTTGCCACCGCGGTGGTTGGTGATGGAGTGTAAGGGACGAAAGCTCGGGAAGGATGAACGGGGCCGGGTATAGCGCATGCTAACTCACCTTGTCACGCTGCTGTCGACATCGTCGAACAGGTCAACACCGCTAGTGCTCAGGTTCTCCTTGACGACGATCACGCCGTCGGTGGGAGCAATGACCTCCTTGCAACGACGCAGGTAGGCAACGAGCTGCTCGTCGGTCAGGTGGCCGACGCACCATTGGTTCCAGACAAGGTCGTAAGCGGTGCCGTCGAGGGGCTTCCACTCCTCGAGACCAATGTTGAAGACGGACCCGACGCCCAACTTCTCCTGAAGAGCGGCGGTGAACTTGGCGATGGGTTCGACAATGTCGACTTGTTCAGCTACATCGAGCATGAGTCCCTCTGTGATGCGGCCGATGCTGGGGTTCGAGGGTCAGCAGGGATGGTCGTGACATGGTACGGAGACTTGGGTCGGGGAGACAAGGGCAGGGGGTGTATGTCAGAGGTACCGGTGAGAGGTTCCGACACGAGGAGGCAAAATGGAGAAGGCCCAGGGCGCAGAACAACGGGGTCAGGCGAGGCAAATCATTAGCTCGGCCCGCCTTGCAGTGTCGTTGTTGCGGTGGGTTAGGGGAGAGGTGATGGGCATGGGATGGCGAAAAGAAGGGGTAGGACTGAGAGGAAGTGAGAGGCGGTGAGGGAGTTGAGTGACGATATGGCGGTGAAAAGGGGAAAAAACGACGGGGGTCCGTGTATGTCGGTGGTGGTGGTGGTGGTGTTGGTGATGTGAGATGGTAGCAACCAGAACCAAACCAGCCGTCAACCTTCCGCCGGATACATGACACTTGAATGTAACGGGTACCGGATTGACGAAACCCTCGGGCCTGAGAACAATGACAAGAGAGAAAGCGAAGAGAGAGAAAAACTCACCCGGCCCCGCCTTCCAGAGCGCGGCTCACCGTCCGCAGACCGCTTTTCGTGCCGATGCCCAGCTTGGCCAGAAAGTTGCGCGAGCCCTGCAGGTCGACCTTGCTGATGTAGGGAAAACCACCCAGCATGCCGTTCACGTCGGCATCGATGCCCTGCCAGTAGGAACGGCCATCTTTGGCATTGATCTTGGCGTCGGGCGGCGGTGTGGTGGTGGTGGCTGCTGCTGATGCTGCGGACTGATCTCCCGCTGTTGAAGATACGGCCGTGGCTGCGGGTGCCGTTCCTTCGTCGCCGGGCATTGTGACGCACACGCACGCGCACGCGCAATCTAACTTGACTGCCTCGGAGGTGGTGAGTGGTGGGTGGCGGGCGGATGCAGCGTGGTGGTGAAGAAAGATCGGAGGCGGTCGGGAGCGGTATGACATTGTTGAAGAACCGCGCCGGAGCTGCAATGCACTGACGTACAGGAGGGGGACGCTTGATTGATGCATATGGTACATTATGCGGGCCATGCCGTGCTTAATGTGATAGATGGAAGAGATAGTCGTCTAAGCACTCCTATCTATCTAAACAGATGGAGATCCACTGATAAGGCTGATAAGACACGCCTGGCGCCCCGGTGCCTGGCGTCATCACGGAATGCCCCTAAAACTAAGGTTAACTTTGCAACCTTAGTACGCCCGCCCGCCCGGGGCCTATCGACGCCCACTGCGCGCAATAAAGTTGACCTAAATGCTTGCTGAATTTATCTGCACTAACGGGAGTTTCTTTTGCCTTTAATCTTCTTTATATCCATCTGAACCGCTTCCCCAAGCTTATCTCAGCTCATGCACCTGTCAGCCTTGCCCGTAAAAGCTACGTGGGATGCGCGACTCTCAACGTCCTTTCATCATGGGCGCGGGTGGTGACTACATGTCATCTGCGACTTCACGTCTCTCCCGCCGCGACATCAGCCAGTGCCCGTCTCTGATCTCAACTCTTGCATTGCTGCCTCATCTGCGCCCGAACAACAAGGTGCTTACGATCGACCGTTAATGCGGCCAGAACCGACCGCCTGGGACGCGCGGGCTCCTCGACGAGATGATTCACGTCGACAGATTCCGGATGGTTCCTCAGGCGACAGCTTCTCTTACACCAGTCAGGTGACTTGGACATTTCCCGTTTGGTAATTCTTGCGATGGCGCGATCAATGTTTGAAGGTCCGTCCAGACGACAGCAGCGTCCACAATCAAAGAAAAAAAAAAAGTCGCCGTCTCAAAAATAGGCCGTCGCTAGCGAACGGCAGCCATCATCTGCAGAACAATTGCTCCCATCGGCAATGTCAGAAGGACTGTCACCATCTCCAGATGAAGCAGATATTCCAAACCGGACCTCAACGAGGCAACTGTTCGTCTCCGCCGCGGGAGAGCAGGCGATCATAATGTGGAAACCCGGCTGCGACGTTCTTCGCGATGCGCTTTGGCGACTCCGGCAAAACTTGTCTCCAAACCACCACGGCTCAAACTTCCCGAAATACATCGACAGGCCACCGCCTGGCCCGTGTCTCGAATCGCAAAGATTTTCTTCCAAATCACCCAACCAAGCCGATGTTGGAGATCCAGTAGGCTCGCGAATCTGGGGTTGCCAAGACATGTAACCAACATGCAACCGCTGCAAACGGGCGTGGGATCCCTTTTGGAACAAAGAATCTGCAAATATCACGAGAAGGGGCAGACGTCCCTTTCTGTACAGGGCGTCACCCTGGATCCCTCGGCCACCGCCGTTGCACCTCAACGTCGACATCATGTGAAGCCCGTGGCGACACAGCCCGTTTCTCAGGTTCTGCGTGGTGCGGTCCAGGCTTTTTCGGCCAGCGAGGGCCTTGCGGCTGCATGCAGGCAGACTCGAAGCCGGGTCTTTCCTACACACTACCACGTTCTGATACTGGACCAGGGGGGGTCTGAACACCAGCAGACTGGGTCCCCTTTTCTTCCCCGCGGGGGCGGAACCTACGGATCGCGTGAGAGCTCGCCAGACAGGAATCCACTAGCAGTTCGAGGCAGTTGATGGCGCTCCCAATGGCTCGGTATTCCGGCAGGTTTTGTGGCGCATTCTGCTACTGAGGAGTACCGCCTGCTTCCCAAACCTAAGCCTTCCAGTGTCAAGAAAGCTTGATTGACAGCGGCGATCGACCTGGACCGGCACTGTCTACCCGCGACGCGTCAGTCTTTTGATCCTTTGCATCGCGAATATGCAAATTTTCATCGAGCTTTACTCGGCGACGAAGAGATCCGGAATTGGATCGAGCTCCATTGGGGGCCGGACGCTAGCGTCATGGGCAAGTATGCTTAGGCAGGTATGCTTACTTGACATCACCATGTCCTGGTCATTTGTAAACTGGGAAGATAAACGGTTCTTGACAGAAGTTACAATGTGCGTAATCCTCCAAGGGAACGGCTGAACTTCCAGCCTATCGAAAGCCTTCGTTCTCGGTGTCGAGTCGTGGATGGCAATGCAACGAATGGCTCTGGGCAGAAAGCGAAGCCAGGTCGGACGAGGCGAGGTGGTTTGAGGCGGTTTGACTTTTCTCGCCTCCTTGCAAGATGTTTTGCAGCTTGTGGCCCCGACGCCTTCGGGCCAGAAAGCTTACTGCCTCAAACGTGGTGAGGACTGCAAGGGGGGATCTTGCAAAAAGGCACGAGCCAGACAAGGGCCGATCACCCGCGGCTGTGGTTATACCAGCGTGTGGGCTCCTGTTCCTCCTGCTTGGTCGCTGAGACCAGGCCAGGGGCGGCCATACAGATGAGAGCGCATTCGAATCAAGCATGAATAACCTTAGCTGGCGCTGTGGGGGTCTTTTCTCGTCTGCAGAGCATGATACGCGAGGAGGAAAAAAAAGAAAAAGGAGAGATAGGGTGAGGGAGACTGGCGACATCGGACGAAGGATTAGAGTTTCGGTTGCTTCGAGCACCTTGCCCCTTTGAAGGTCTGGATGTAAGGGACTTTGGACGACGATGGACCGAGTTCCGAAACACGACTCTGCGGTTGGCCTGACTCAACGGTGTTGCTATTCTGAATGATGCGATGAGAGAGGCAGCAGCAGCAGATGCACCATCTACACAATCCGGTCTCTTCACGCGAATCCTTGGAGTGGCTCAGCACATCGTGCCTGGACATTGACATCTGTCTGCCCTTGGGCTTGGGGGTTTCAGGCTCTCGGTCACCCTCTCTCGACATGTTCCGCTTCACGCCACTCTCGGTCTGGTCGAGGTCCTTGTTTGGGACGAGAGGCGGGTGAGTACATAAAGGCTTCAACCCATCCTCTCTCTTGGCGGTTCTTGGATTGATTCGACGGCAGGCCTCACAATACCAGATTTAATACATACATTCCCTTACAACCAATTTCAGTTCATCAAATCGACCGGGTTCGATTATCTAATTCACCAATAACTTCGGTTCACTTCAGTCCAACAAAATGAAGTTCCTCACATTCTCCCTCTTCCTCGCTTCGACACTCGTTAGCGTCAGCAGTGCTCCCGCCGATGTTGATAGCAGGGCTGTCACGTAAGTCACAGTTGCAGTATCTCTCCGAACATCACTAACACGCATCGCAGTTTCACCAACTATGATCAGCAGTTGCAGGAGCGCGACCAGGAGCCCCGCGGGGTTTCCGTCCCCTCCTTCAACGGAGTTGAGACCACCAGCGGTGTGATCGCCGACGTTCAGGACGAGGAGGAGGCCGTCCCCGTCCGCGCCCGCCAGCTGCTCAAGAAGAAGAAGGGCAAGAAGGGAAAGAAGGCGAAGAAGGCGAAGAAGGCTAAGAAGGCGAAGAAGGCCGCCAAGGCCAACGCCGGTGCCGCGAAGGCTAAGGGCAAGGCTACTCCTGCTGCCGGTGCTGCCAAGGGCAAGGGCGCCGCTCCCGCTGCCGGTGCTGCTGGCAAGGGTAAGGGAGCTGCTCCCCCCGCTGCCGCCCCGGCTGGTGGTGCTGCGGCCAAGGGCAAGGGAACCAACCCGCCCGCCGCTGCTCCCGCCGGTGGTGCCGCTGGTGCTCCTCCCCCAGCTGCCCCGGCCGCCGCTCCTCCTGCTGCTCCTCCTGCCGCTCCTCCTGCTGCCGCGAAGCCCGCTGCTGCTGCTCCCGCCGCCGTCGCCCCGGCTCCTGTCGCTCCCGCGCTCCCCGTCGCCAAGCCCAACTAAGCTACCTGCTTTTTGCGGTGTTGGAGGGGTAATGGAAGGGTTGCCGGCACTGGTGCCGGTTGCTTGATTCACGAGGGCTACGGAAAGCAGAGTACCAGGACAGTTTACGGACTACTGGATCTGTAACGATATGACCAAAAAGCTTATTCTACACAGGACGTCCGGTCCAAGGGGTTCTCCAGCCATTTGGCTTAGACCGGCGCTGTACGAAGGGTTCAGGGGTAGTTGAGACCGGAGCGCGGAAGTACATAGCCACGACGAGCAATTCAAGCGTCAGACGATTTCTTTCTCAATGGTCATGTGTTTGGTGATTTCGTTTGCAGTCTTCTCGGAATCGGGTCCGTATTGGACCCAGTGACATCAACAACACCGTGATCCGATAGGTATGACACGAGATATCTTGGCGCTATGATGCCAATTATAGGGGTTTATCGTTTCATGGGTTGCCCGTCCACAGAAACATGTTTCGTGTGTTGGTCAATGCTCGGGCGCATGCGGGTAATACGCCATGTACGTGGCGGTCGTCTCGTCTCTTTGCGTGCGAAAAGCGTAAATCGGTGCTGAGTGGGTGTGGTCTATTCGAACAAGAACGCGACGGAAAAAAGAAGGTTGGCACAAGACGGGCCTCCATCTCTCCGGAATCTGATCGACATTGCGAATGCAACCCTCTCTGATGGGTTTTGCGGAGTGGATGGCGGTCCATTCGGACATTGAATCACAATCGCACAATTCTGTTTGAGTGGAATCGACGGGACTTGGCGACATATCTGACAGAGGCGCTTCGCTTCGCCCCTCGCGCGCAAACATGTTGCCTTTTTGGAAACTGTTCCGGGATGGGCTCTGATGACCGAAATGCTCCGGCCGATCCACCCGGGAGCCCGGCCTGCGGTGAGCCAATGAGCACCCCTCGTCAACGACTCAAGCCTTTGACGGGAATCCTTTCGCTTCCCTTCCCATCCGAGCGTTTTTTTTTCTTCTTCTGCTCCATCATACCTGATCCACCGACCAACGTCGAGTCCACTTTTCCTTGGTGTTTTCTCTCTTTTCTCCCGGCCGTTCTCCACTGAACTAGCTCATCGTCTCCAGTCTCGTGCTCATGCGAAGAAAAATCTCTTCGCCGGCCCCCTCCTAGCGTCTTGAGCAGGTTCTGCTTCGCGTTTTCCAACAACCCCTCGGCTCTTTCAGCTGAAGCGGCCGGTTGGCCCAATGGCAAGGCGTCTGACTACGATTCATCGTGCAATCAGGAGATTCTGGGTTCGACCCCCAGGCTGGTCAAGTTTCTTTTTGTTGCGTCTTGGCGGCACGGTGATGTTTTTCATGATGCCTGCTACACACTTGTTTCGACATTGGTCCTTGTTTGCCATCAGTGTACACAGAATTATCTGCCATATTTGTCTCTTTCAGCTTATTGTTCCTTGAGAAGGACGTTGGTCGTCATCAAATATTCAACGACGTCGAGTCAATTCCTGCCCGTGGAGAAATAACGATAAGCTTAAAAAGGTGACAGAACTCAGTGAGGCGCTAGTCAGAAGTTACCACAGAGTTTGATCTCGCGTGGCCCGTCGCGTGCTGCGATGTGGCCTTCGCCCTGCATAAACTCAAGCCGTCATTCTGAGCTTGTTCGCCAGACGTCATGACTTGGAAGGGGTATCTTGGTCAACGAAATGGCCCGCGCTGGCAGAACTTGTACACAGTTTGATGAGCTGTGGTGAGAATTATTACTATCTATGAAGCGAAGGCATTGCGAAGGCATTGAGAAAGGAGGAGTTCAGCGACCGATGAATTCTGCGGCAACCTGGCGACCGACTGCCTGAGCGCTGTGTCCGAGGCCTTCCCCTCTGATCGCATCAAGGGTCCAGGGGTCTCCTCGGCACCGTCAAGGTTCAACTTCGGTTGGCGTTAGAGATGTCTTATCCCCGAATGTCCTCTTGAATCTAGGAGCATACCCTCGGATGACTTTTGCTGTCGCAGTGCGCGCAACCTCACTTATGCAATACCACAAGCTTTTGCTGCTTTCCTGTCTCATACCAAATCAAATTCGGTTGCACGCTTCACGTTGCCAATCGCACGAATTTAGGGTAGTGTTTCACTCTCTTTGTATTTCTCTTTTGCGTCTTCTACCACTCATCCGGTTGAACCAATGCTCCAAGTCTATACTTCTCGTGGGTTTGCTCGCATGTCTATGCTACTACTGTTGGTCGGCGTTCCGACCCTGTCTGGCCTCCGATGGCTCTTCGGCTTTCTATCTCATGACTTTTCACAGCTCCGCGCTAAGACACAAGCTGTAAAAGTTTAAATGTTCTTCTTGAGCCAGGTCAAGCTCAAAGAATTGACGTTTAGGACCCTCGACGCGTACTATGGTCTCACCCACAGTCACTGGCACCTGGTTCCAATCAACGAATGCGACCTTCTTTTCGTTATCGTCTAGGTATAACAAGACATAGTACTTTAGACGCGAGACTTTGACGAAGGATGCTGTCTTTTCCCCAGGTTGTACTTGAACACGCAGCGCAAAGGCCCCGCGATCATCATTTGCCTGGCGAGCTCGCTCGATTTCCAACGCTTCCGCGAGAATGAACGGCTGCTTGAGGTAAGCAGGTGGTAGCACTACGTACCATCTCTTGTGAAAAATGTCTGCAAGTGCCCATATCGCCATCTTGGTTGGACCGTTGACGTCCACGGTGATGCCGTTGCAGCGATCCAGAAGCCAGCGGATAGCGACTTCATTGGTTTGTGGGGTGGTTGAGAGTATCTGTGTTAATCGATTTATCGCGGCAACGAATTCATGCTCATGCGTATCTAGGTCTCCCTGCCGGATCATGTGGTGGAGCAGGATGAACAGCTGGCCTACTACTTCCGCGCTGCTCCAATCCTATTTGGATGTAGAATGATTTGGCGTCCACGTGGTCTCGATAGACCATCGGCACTGGCAAGACCCTTGATCTGCTTCCTTATCGTCTGCTCCCACATCGTCCTTCGAAATGGCTTTCACAAGTTCCTTTTCAAGATTGTCTTTCTTGTCTAGGAAGAACTTTTCCCAGTTGTTGATCTTGTTTGTTAGAGTTTCGTTCTCTCTTACCAAGGATATATTATTGCTCTCGAGTTCCTGGACCTGTCTTCGGAGACCGGCAGTCTTGGGAGGAGCCATGGTTGACGTGAATAGGCAAGTCGCAGCACTCAGTGTCGTTCCTCAGCTCGAGTTTGGGCTTCGTGTAAACTGATGGCGATTGACTTCCAAAGCAGCTATTGTTTCCGAGGTCAGGTATCCTGGTATGAGTGATGTCAGTACTTAATCGCCGCCTTGTCCGCTCATTTTACTGACCTATGCACTGAGATCTGCTGGAAAAGTCTTGTCGTGAAGGTCTGTGGTCAGTTGGATGATGTTTCTGGTCGTTGCCTGCGGGAGGTGTTTCTGGAAGATACGACTGGTTTTGGTCGAGTCCCAGAGATACTTAAGGAGAAGGGAAGCAGGTGGCCATTGGGAAGTTACCTGAAGCGCGACTACTTAGTTAAGAGCGGGATATTGCCTCATCTGCGCGACCTTGATCTGGGCCCTTCCTTATTTGCGAGGTCCTCCTGCTTCCAAAGTCTATCTGGCTTTCGACCACACCTTCCATCAGATGTCATCTCCCAACAAGAGCTCATAACACATTGACGACGGCAGTCACCTCGGACACGACGAAGACAACAGACAATATAGAGACCACAAGTCCACACTGGATTAAGGGTTTGCTGTGCCATCACATGGTCGAATATCTCCTTGGGTTCTCGTGCGATTAACCCCCCGGCAAGAATCACCAACAGGGACGCAGTTTACCGTGGCGTCCCACCTTTCCTCGTGTGCCGTCCAAAGAGACCTGCTGTCCTGGGGCCTGCCGTCTTAGCACCTGCCAAAGTGACTCCTGCCAAAGATCCGAATCGAGATATCACGACATGACATGGCCAACACTACCCATTTAGAATGGTCCTCTTGAAAACCCGTACAACCTGACGCTGTATTCCAGCAATTGACCGCCTTGGGGAACGGTCTATTCAATTTAGGCCTGTATTGTTTAAACAAGTCATATTCTTTGTCAAACGCATACCTAGGAAGACACATGGTGTGTACTGAGACTATGCTTTCTCTCGCCATTGTATGTTTGTTTCCCTCACTCTCTGTCAACATGATCTATCGGTCCGTCAAAATTCCCCAATGCTTCAGCCAAAGACCAACACTGTTAGCAACCGCACGGAGCCCCTCAAGTACTGCATGTCATGGTGTTGAAGAAAAATCTGAAAATCACTGCCTCTCGCTCTTTCCATTACTTCTGCTCAAATTCTTGCCATTACGTATCTCGCGTTATATGTTTCCTGAGCACTCTCTGAACCTTTCTGTGAAAACAGCCGGCACTCTCCAGGTGTCTTTGAGATACAGCTTTTAAAAGAGTAGAATCAGTGAACCACTGACTACCTAGTCGTTCCTTCTTTTTGATGTCCTGGTGATAGCTTCACCCCTGAGGACCCCACAAAATCCCACCTCTCTGCTCTTCTGACTTCCTCTCCCACAGCAACATTTACTATTCACCATCAGGCCCCCATCATCCACTCTCAGGAACTGAGAAGGCTGCACATTGGTGCTTTTCGTCACTGCGCTTTCTTTGCTGCCGCACCCCACGAATTAAATAATTTTCTCTTTGCACTCCGGTTTCCACGACACCACATCTCCCCAAGTCTTTGACATTGCATCTTTACTTCTCACAAAACGACCAAATAAACGCTACCTGGAGTGAGAAGACAAGCTGATACCGGGGCCGCAGCTTCCTTAATTCCTCCTTACCTGCAGTCCTCGACCCAGCCTACAAATATCACCCTTTTTGTTCTCAACCCCCCACACCAGACTCTCCTCCACAACGTTTAATCAATCAGCTCCCGACTTTCAACCACTCAGCTGAAGACCGGTTCGTCCAGACGTACGAAAACAAGATCGAAAGGGACTGGCGTGTCGTTCCTTCCTTCCTCAACCCCTTGGTTATTTCACCTCATCACCAGCCATAAATATTAGTCACCCGCTTCGACTCTCCCACCACCATACCTCAACACAACATCACAACCACACAAAGTGATTCACCACAACAACAATATTCGCATTTACCATCCACCCGGTATATATCGACGACCACCCACCAACGTCATCCTTCCAATCCCTCACCCGACAACCGCCACCATGGTCAATACCAAGTCTCCCGAGCTGGTCGAATACCACCAATTCCTCATCAACCGCATTCCCTCCAACGTCACTGACGCCTTCCGCATGGCCATTATCGACGTCATCGAGCAGCGCGTCGAGTTCCCCGACCCCAACGACTGCAACCTCCTGTGGTACATCCAAAACGAATACGAAAACGACCGCGAGCCCAAGGCCGCCGAGGTCGTCGCCCTGGCCCTGTGCTACGAGAAGGGCGCCATCGAAGGCGGCATCTACGACATCCAGCAGAAATACTATGCCAAGCACTCCGACCTCGCCCACAACATCCACAAGTGGACCATCGCCGGCATCTCCGGCCAGCCTGTCCAGGAGACGGATGAAAGCGGCACCGCTTCTCCTGACGCCGAGTTTGCCGACCTTTATGCTTCTTTCAAGCAGCCTGATCCGTCCGTTGATCTGTTAAATGATCCGCCCGAGAGCTCCAAGGCCAAGGGAAAGCGCAAGGCCTCTGACGAGGACGATGAGGCCGCCAAGCGCACCCGGCTGTCTCACCTCTCTCACAACGACTACACTGACAACGAGGACACACCCCTCCTCAACAAGCTCATGGCCAGCGTCTTGGCTCCTCCCAAGAAGTCCTCCAAGAAGGGCAACCCCAAGACCGCTGCTTCCTCCTCCCGCAACCAGAGCCAGGACGCCAACCCCGGCCCGACCGCCGCCCTGATGGTGACCTCCTTTCCCCGCGTTCCCATGACCAGCAGCCAGGCTGCGACTTCCGATAGGAACAACACGGGTCAACGCCAGATGCCCGTCACCCCCAACGCCGGCTCTCGCCGCACTAGAAGCAACCCCGTAGAGAACCTCGAGGCGGCCAAGACAGCCCAGACCCAGGCAATAATCGACGTCCTCCACAAGCAGGCCACCGACAAGCTGGCCCACGCTGAGGCTCTTCGCAAGGAGAACTCTGCCGCCCTCGACCAGCAGCCCGCCGACATGGACCTGGCTGCTCTGACCGAGCACGTCACCCGCACCAGCCGCCTCAACTCCCGCATCCACTCCTACCATGAGAGCGCCATCAAGGATCTGAGCGAGGCCGTCCGCCTCCAGCGGGAGCAGGACAATGCCTCCTTCAACCGGCTCAACCACATGGAGAGCATCCTCAGCGTGATCGGTAGTGCCGCCCGCTGCACTCTCAGCCGCACCCACGAGTCTGAGAACTGAACGAGCACGTCCGTCAAAGAAGCAGCTTGTACGAACAAAGGATTTGGAACCATGCCCGGCTTTTTGAGATGATGGGCGATTTTGATTTTTTGCAGGTTGATTTGAAGATTGGAGAAGGCTTGGCAGGTAATGAAGTTGGTTCGGAAAGCTCAGGAGTATTCAAGGCGTTGGACAAGGATTCAGATACCCAGGAAGGGGATTGTTTTTCGCAAAGCTAGATAGATCGGGCCAGACCTTGCTGAATACACTGCATTGAATGAGAAGCTTTTACTCATGATGTTGTTGGTATACTGTGGTGCCTGAATGTTAGACTACTCATTGTCATATGCTTGCTGTGAAGAAATACCACTGTTGCCTCTAGTATGGAATGCTGATGAGCTGTAGGCAGGATGGCTTGAACAGACGGAACTCTCGAGAAATAATTGAAACGAGAGATCAATTAGTTCTTTCTCTAATAAACCCTAATGGGCTACTTTACAAGCTTGCTCTACCCAAAAAATGAGAGGTATTGATCGCTCTATATCAATGATGATGCTCCCCAATCCATAAAACTCCGGAACAAACAGATAAAAGAAAGACATAACAAGAGAATAAGAAAAAAAGAAAAGAAATTAGTGATTACAACAGAAAATTTACTTCTCTTCCCACCCCATGTACTTTGTTGGCAGACAACAGTTTTTGTTGTCATCAAAAGCAGCGCTGAACTTTTTTCATCTTCTCCTTTTTTTAGAAGCAGGTACCCCATTCCGGCTGGCAGCCGTTGAACGCGTAGCAATTGCTATTGTTCCAAACCCACACCTTTGTAGTCGCACATTGACCTTTACTCGTGCAGCAAAGACCCGTCCCGCACTTTTGTCCCAATGTCGAACCACAGGAGTCACCGACGTTGTTGACGACCTTGACGACCTTGGCCGTCTGCGAAGGGGCAGCGGAGGAGGACGTCGTGGTGGATGTCAACAACGTGGAGGAGCTGAAGATGCTGCTGCTGCTGCTGCTGCTGCTGCTGCTGCTAGAGGACTGAACGCTGCTACTGGTATCGCTGCTGGAACTGCTGCTACTACTACTAGAAGACTGAAGGCTGCTGCTGGTGACGCTGCTAGAAGACGAGCTGCTGGGGCTGCTACTAACAACGGCATCGGGAGAAACGACAGCACTACTGGTAATGATGACAGAGGAGCTGACAACGACATCCGGAACAACGACAGGACTACTAGTAACGACAACAGACGAACTGACAACGGCACCAGTAGAAACAGAAGCACTACTGGTAGTGACGACCGTTGAGCTACCAGTGGCATCAGCAGAAACAAAAGTACTACTGGTAGTGACAATAGTCGAGCTACCAATAGCATCAGCAGAAACGGAAATACTACCAGCAGTAACAACAGTCGAGCTGCCAATGACATCGGCAGAAA